AAATAAAATGTCCTTCAAAACAAATAAAATGATTTATCAACAAACTATTTCACAAAAGTAGACCTCTTACTAATAAAAAAATATCCATTAGACCTATTATTTTATACCTTTCTTAGAATAGATTTATCACTAATTTTTTCTAAATAAAATAAATGTTGAGTCAACCAATTCAATCCCGCTACGTAGCTTGAAAAAATGAATTTTTTTTTTCTTTCCCTTTTCTTCTTCCTCTTCTTCCCTCCCTCTCTTTTTTCCTTCATCTTCTCCCTCTGTTCTTTCCAACAGTTCTAAATTTTTTTGTTTTTCCTTCCCCCCTCTCTTCTTCCCCTTCTTCCTTCTCCCTCTATTTTCCCTTCCTCTTCTTCCTCTATTCAAAATCAAAACTCATAATCAAAATCAAAATCAAATTCAAAATTAAAACCAAACCTACAGAATCAAAATCAAAATCAAAATCAAAACAACAATAGTAGTAGGTTGGGTTGTGGTTCAGCCGAAGATCATGGTTCAGTCGAAGATCCACAGCCGAAGATCAAGCATTGGCCTCTTCGTCCATGGCGGTGGGTTGGGTTGTGGTTCAACTGAAAATCAAGCTTCGGCTTCTCCTCTCTTCCTCCTTCTCTTGCCTCTTTGTTTCTCTCTCTTTCTCTCAAACCTGTTTCGAGGAAGAAGGAAAAAGAAAAGAAAAAAATGCCAAAACGACGTTACTTTGACACTCAGGACATTCGAGCCACTCCAATTTCGAGCTACCATGCATTTCTCCAACCAATTGGGGTGGTGGTGCAATTGGCTAGCACGTAAGTCTCATAGCTATTCCGAGGTCAAAAGTCAGATAGAGCCTCTTTTACCCCCAAATGTTTTTTATTATTGTCATTGTTGTTAGCTTTATTCTTATAGTCATTAGCTTATTTCTGAATAAATAAATATTCTTTTTATAATGAAAGACATTATCATCCTATTAAATATTTATTTTTATTATTTTTGTCATTGTCATTTGCTTTATTTTTGTCGTCATTAGCTTATTGCTTAATAAATTTTTTTTTTTTTTTTTACTAACGAATGACATTATCATCCTATTAAATATTTATTTTTATTATTTTTGTCATTGTCATTTGCTTTATTTTTGTCGTCATTAGCTTATTGCTTAATAAATTTTTTTTTTTTTTAATAACGAATGACATTATCATCCTATTAAATATTTATTTTTATTTTTCTTATCATTTTCATTAGCTTTATTCTTGTTTTCATTAGCTTATAGCTTAATAAAAAATAAATAATTTTTTTATAACGAATGACATTATCATCCTATTAAATATTTATTTTTCTTATTCTTATCATTATCATTAGCTTTATTCTTGTCATTGTCATTAGCTTATTGCTTAATAAAAAAATAAATATTTTTTATTTTTTATTTTTATAACGAATGACATTATCATCCTATTCAATATTTATTTTTATTATTTTTACAAAGGTTAAGAAAGAAATATTTTATTTCATTTTGTTTTAATGAATTAAATGCAGTATAATAATTACACTTGTTTGGAATTTTTTTTTTTAAGCTTTTTACTCTTTTTTTTTTATTATAGGAAAATTGCAATTCACTAGTAAGACCAAAAACAAATTGCAATATCATGAAAAAGTTTATGACTTCAATTATTAAAATTCATAAACTTTCACTCATTTGCAATTTACTTTGAAAACTTACAGTGAATTACAATTTTTCTTTTTCTTTTTATTTATCTTCCTAGCCTTTAGTTTTGACATTTTGTAAAGACCCAAAAGCCACTCTAAAAAGTCTATTAATTGAACAGATGCTTATGAACAAAAATAGAAAACAAAAAAAAAAAATCCAAAAAGATTTGGTTTATATCAAGGGTGGATGTAATTATTATTTATTTATTGAACCAGGTTATAGATGTATTGTATGTCCTCATCGACCCACCCAATCCCACAATAAAATAACACTTTTATACAAATATTGAAATAATACCTTTCAAATAATAATAATAAAAATAGTATATTGTTTTTATTATAATATTTCATCCAGTTTTCGTTTATATTATAAAAATAACATATCTAGTAGTATAATACATATACTCATTAGTGGACAAAAGTCTTAACTTTAATATTATTTGTCTCCAATTTGCAATCAGATTTGAGAGTATTGTTGGGCTTATGAGATTCATCATGGGTCTAATTTTGATAATCTGAATTGTCAATGTGTAAAACTCGTCGAAGATTTTATTCTTACAAAAAATCACTTTAATTGGATATCAATAACCACCTGATTATATTATAATTTTATCAATGATAAGTATGATTTTAAAAATAAATTATTAACAAAATTGTATTCTGATCAAATAATTATCGATATTTGATCAACTTAATTTTTTACTGGAATAAAGTACTCAATCAAATTTACATATTAAACAATTCAAATCATCAAAGTTGATCCATGATAGATCCCTCAAGCGTAAACATTATCATCCAATCTACAAAGTTGACTAGAAACAACATATATCCATCATTTATGTCATAATAGATAGAACTTTTTTTTGATACGAAGATTGTAAAGAATTAACTTTGTAAGGGTATCTCCAACGGTTTACTAAAGATTTCATTAAATTTGGATAAAAAAGTACAAATTTCTCTATTTAATATCAGTCACTCCAACGGTAAATTTGTAACTGTCATCAAAACACAAGTTGTCCAGGGAAATGACCGGCAAGAGCAAACGGAAAAAGAAAAAAAAAAAAAAAAAAAAAAAATTCACTAGCCTATTGATAGTCCCCACCATTGCTCTATTTTGGAAATTGTTCAATTAAACAAAAACCATCATAACATACAAACAAAAAAACAAAATATGATTCCCATCCAAAAAACAAAAAACAATGTAGCTCTGTTCTGTAACTAAAACCCATTTTTCAAAATAGCAAAAAACAATACTTTTGTCTTTCTCTCCCCTCTCAATCTTGATTTCCATCTCTATATTTCTATATTGTTCTCCACACACATATATACATACATATTTTGTCAATTTCTATGAGATTTTGTTGATGGGACTTTAAATGAGTTCTGTTGAAAGTGGCTTTTTGTTGAAGAGAGATCAAACTCTGCTTTGCTCTTCTTCATCATTAACGAGCAGGGTAAATAGATTCTCTTGAAAGTGGCTTTTCGTTGAAGACAGATCAAACTCTGTGTCGCTCTTCTTCATCATTAACGAGCAGGAATGAGAGAAACCCATTTGGTCAAAGACCCATATTGAGATTCGTTAGGCTGTTCTTGTTCAAGAAGATTGATTATCTTCAATAGATTTGCACAGTTGCTATGTTCTTCTTCTTTCTTGTTCTCTTTCAGATGTTCTTGCCTGGTTCAATGATTTAAAAACCGAAGAATTCATGGCGAGGAGAGGAATTAGCTTTTGGGGATTTGATGTTATGGAAGGAGATTGGTGGGTTAGTTTTTGGGGAAGATATTAAAGTTTGAACCATCAAAGCTTTTGGCTAAATTTCAAAAAGAGTCCAATGAGGTCAAGTAACAAAATGACCGAGCGGACAATTGGCCGGTCGTCCAGTGTGTATTATCTGTAACGGTCCTACACAGTATTTTGATGAAAGGTGTCCAGATTTTTAGTTTGATGAAACATTTGTTATTTTCTCAATTTGATACAGATTTGATGAAACTATTGGAGTAAAAAATATATATATTTTTTTACCAAATTTGAATTTGATGACGGATTTGGTGCAGTGTTGGAGATGGCCTAAGCCCACGAATGATTAGGAAATAAGTGATTGTTTTGAAAAATTGGTTTAAAATAAATTTTTTATTTTTTTAAAACTTCTTTTGAAAAAAATGTGTAAAAAATAAAGAGATGATATGACCTAAAATAGGTTAAATGCTAAGATTTGACTTTCAACCATGTTCCAAATTAGTTAGAACAACAATTTTAATAACATTTCAATAGAGCTATTAATCATTCCCATCTAAAAATTGAATAAAAATAAAACTATTATGCATCATTGAACATCTAAAAGTCGTTGGAGTCATTTATAAATTAAATTTTGTATGACATCAACAAATATTTGAATTATAACTTTTAATAATAATAATAAAAAATCTCTTCTATATTTTTATGTAAGTTTCACTTTCACCGAATAAAATTTCAAGAAAATTTAAGTGCAATAAAATTTTCACAAAATAAATGGATTTCACATGTAAACTGCAATTATATGAATCTCTCACTTTTGACAATTCTCTATTTTGTTGAACGGGAAACACTATGGTGCATACTCTTTAAAAAATGTACATTTTATAACAAAAAAGAAAATGTCATATTTTTTTTAAGTCATAATTAACAAAAAAGGTCATAACTACATACAATATGGAGAAACTATTATGCATAATTGAACATCTAAAAGTCGTTGGAGTCATTTATAAATTAAATTTTGTATGATATCAACAAATATTTGAATTTTAACTTTTAATTAAAAAAAAAAATCTCTTCTATATTTTTATGTAAGTTTCACTTTCACCGAATAAAATTTCAAGAAAATTTAAGTGCAATAAAATTTTCACAAAATAAATGGATTTCACATGTAAACTGCAATTATATGAATCTCTCACTTTTGACAATTCTCTATTTTGTTGAACGGGAAACACTATGGTGCACACTCTTTAAAAAGTGTACATTTTATAACAAAAAAGAAAATGTCATATTTTTTTTAAGTCATAATTAACAAAAAAAGGTCATAACTACATATAATATGGAGTATAATTAAAGAATTCATGAGTCATAATTAATTAATATTATAAATAAAAAAGAAAATTAATCATAGCTAAAAAAGAAAATGATATAATTAAAACAAATAAAAGAACAAAAAAAAATAATTATTTTGATAAATAGGAATAAACCAGTAAAAAACTACCCCGACTAACCATCATTCCCGCCCCCAGATGATTTTTAAAAATTCGTTGACTATACATATAATATATATATGTATCCAAATCTCACCTGTACAAATCCCTAGTCTTTTCTATCTCACCACCAAAACCCTAGCTCGAATTTGTCTAAAAGATGGTGGATCAGATCGAGTTCAGTCGAACCTCTCTTCTCATTCCCTATCAGCTTCAGGCGAAGAGGAAGGGCTCCGGAGTGAGGACCTGGTTCGTCGTCTCAAAATTGGGGAACTCTCAAATCGAAGAGCTTGGGAAGCAAGAGATCATGCGGAGGAGTGGAGTTCAGGCTCAGGATTTGAGGGTTGTTGAACCAGAGCTCTCGAACCCCTCTGCCATTCTCCGAAGAGAGAGGGCTATCGTTGTGAATTTGGAACATATTAAAGCGATTATAACTGCGAATGAAGTTCTGGTACCAAACCCTAAAGACCCTTTTATGGTTTCATTTGTTCGCGATCTCGAATTCAAGCTCTCTGATTTTGGTGTAAGTACTTTTCTTCATTTCTTTCATGAAGTTAATTTGATTTTGATGTGATTAGTGTGATTATTCTTCTTCTGATTTATTTTAGTGGGTTGATCTGTCAATATGTTGGGTGAAATTAGTGTAATTTTGTTTTTGGAATTTTGAGTCAATAACACAACATGAAAAAAATTGAGCAAGCTGAGAATAAACTTTTTACACTTTTTTACAGAATCAAAAATTAAGACATCCTGATTTATGAATATAATTAGGGACCATTACTTGGTGAAATTGTTAAAAATTCGAGCTTATAACCGTGAGAATGTGGGTTTTAGTGCAATGAACTACGACTTTGTGTAAATAAAGAGAAAAGTTAGATCCATGCCAATCCACCCAATCTGGAATCCTTGACTAATGCAGACCAACACTGGGTAATGGCCATTTCCATTTTCCTTATTATTGTATATATATTTTGTAATATAATTGCCCAAAAAGGGATGTTTTTGGTTGATCCAATTATAATAGTTAATAAACATAAGTGGACAGATGATAGTTAGAAGCCCAAATTGTTGGTTAATTAATTTTTTTTCCTAAATATTGCTAAGCAGAGAATAATATATCCAGTTTATTGTTACTTTGCTAGAAAAAAGAAAAGAAAGAAAAAAGAAACGTTAGCATCATGACACCACCTAACGATTGATATAATTTAAAAAGCAGTGTATGATTGATTGTGTTGCTGTGTGAAGGCCACTATGGGAAGCGATAAAGCTCTGAAACAATCACCCTCTAATACGCCACCGGAGGCAAGTGATAGTAGTCCTAAATCACCAGATGAAGGGTCAAATAGGGGGAACTCAAAGCCATTGCCATTTGAGTTCAGAACTTTTGAGATTTGCCTAGAATCTGTCTGCAGGAGCCTTGAATCTGAGGTATGACTATTAATATATATATATATATATATGTCCTAATGCTTTTGCTTTGTATTTCTACTTCTTCACTTGAGCTGTGATATTAAAACTAGCATATCAGTTTTAGGGAAATTGACAGTTCTGATCAAGCTTTCATTGGGTAAGAAATTGCATTTACATTATGTCTCGTTTTTTCAAAATGGGATTTCTCACCTATTTCAAATAACAAAATCCATGGACGTGATGGTAGTTCATTTCTTATTTATGTTTCTCTTTATATTTTCTGTGTACATCATGAAATATATAAGCACCCTATTTTTTGGGTATCTTAGATGAATTTATGACACCATTAACCACCCCATAACCTTGCAGCCACATCCTCAGATCTTTAAACCATAATTTGGCATCACACAACTTTTTAGGTCTTCTACACCTTTCACGTGTTCAATTTATCCATCAAAAAGCAAGTTAATAGGCCCTTTATGGGAAAAGCTGAATTTGCCAATTAGTTTAGCTGGCCAAGTCAATTAACAGAATTAAGAAAGAAGGAGAATTATAATTTCATTAGAAAAATCCAAATAGCTTCTTCTACCTGTTTGGTAAAAAAAAAAAAAAAAAAAACAACAACAACAACAACTTTGACACTTTCCCCTATTCACTCTTAAACTTGTGCAAACATCCTTCAATCAGCACTAGTACTGGTGTTTCTTGAACTTTTCCAGCATGTCGTTCTTATCTGTATCTTATCAACAGACAGAACTATAGATTTAAATGTGAGAATTAAAATAATTTTAATTCAGAAAGAAGAATACCTCATGCCATGATGTTCAAGCCTTTGAATCTTTATCCTTGAATGATCAAATCTTGAATGTATAAACAAAACCCACTCACAGAACACTTTTACAGAACCATATGGGACAAGTGAAAGGAATTAATAGAGTTTCAAACCTATTCTATTCACAAAACAACGTCTGTGTCTGATGGATATCACAGACATATATATAGATAGGCTTGGACCCATATCCAAGTATAACCCCTTATAACTTCCCACCATCAGGGAAGTTGTAAGGTCCCATGAAACCACCATATGGTATAGTGAACAGACATAGTTACCCATTAACCATTAAACTAATTAAATATATATAATATAAATAACTAAATAAATAAAACAAATATGTGGCATATTGTAGACACCCCATTTTTGACCGTCCTAAAGACTTGAACGTCATCGTTTGAGTGCTCGATGATTGCGCATGTTCGCACTCGTTTGGAGTCCCCAAGGTTTTCGGCTGCGTGCCTTGCCTCTAAGTCTCTGAACTCTCTTGGTTTTGTCCTTGTTTTAAGCCAGCTCTTGGTCCCCCCCCTTTTGCCTGGAGGGAGAAATAGTGGTGTAGACCACTTTTCTCCCATGTCGACCAGTTTTTCCCTTGTCAGCCACTTTAGGTGGTTGATTGACTACGGTGGGTGGTCGGTCGACCACCTCAAGTGGTCTGCAGCATGCCACCACCTTCTCCTCTCTTGGGAGACCCCTTTTTTGCCTTGTCGACTAGCTTTTTCCCTTGTCGACCACCTGAGGTGGTCGGCGGCGATTTTTCACTTTCTGCAGATATTTTTGGTGCCAATTGTGCCAGCTGTTGGGCATAGAATGCATCCTGAGGGATTCAAGCAAGCTTTGGCTTGCATATTCTATATAAGGGGAGCTCTCTCCCCCTTTCAAGGGGGGGGGGGGGCAGAAAATTTAGAGACAAAAAAATGACTCTCTCTCTAGAATTCTCTCTTTCTCTCTATATATATTGTGCTCTATAGGGCTTGGAAGTGAGCTTTCTTCACACTTTTGCACACAACCTCTTAGCAAAACCCTCCTACCTTGTTGTTGAGGTGCTTGAGGGTCTTGTGGGAGCTTTAAAAGGCTGGTTTTTGGCTCAAGAAGGTGTTGTTGTTGCTGTGCTTCAAAGGTAATCTCGTTTCCCTTTTAAAGCTTTGTTTTGGTTACTCTCTTAGCCACCTTTGCATGCTATTTTAGGCTTAGCTTTCAATTGCAAAAAGTTCTATTTTTAAGTGTTTAAAATGGTTGCTTAAGGCCTAGTTTGAGTTAGGGGTGGTTTACCCCCTTTGGTGGCTTATTTTGCTTTGTTTTGTGCCATCTTTTAAGGCCTTTGGGATCATCTCTTTTTGGCCTTCTTACCACTGAAACTCAGAGGAATTTCAGTGGTGGAAAGGTGGTTTTGAGGTCCCAAATGGGTGGGGGTGGTCCCCTCCTCCTCTTCTCTTGTTTGCATGTGTTGATGGCCCATCAAAAGAGCATGTGTTTCTACTTCTTAGTGGCTTTGTTTAGACTCATTTTTGTGACTTTTTAGACCTGCAATAACTCTGTTTTTGGCTGTCTTGGTCACCTCTTGCATGCTTCTTGTACTTGTAGTGTAATCCTATTTGTAGCCTTGCAAAGTAGCATGTCTTTGTGTCTTGAATTTGCTTAGTTCAAGCATGTTTTTAGCCATTATTTGCCATGTCATAACTCTGTTTTGGGTTGGTTTGGTTGCCTCTTGCATGCTCCTTGCACTTGTAGTGCAATTTTGTTCACTAGCCTAGTGTATTCGGTGTTTCAGCCTATTGATCTAGCATGTGTATGCTCTACTCCAGCACATTTTCGGCTATGTTTTAGCATACTTTAGGTCTGATTTGAGTGGTTTTGGTCATGCATGCTTGGCTTTGCATAGCTATAGTGTTTTTGGCTTTGCTAGCCTTGCACTTTGAGACCTCTAGCATGTCATATTTGAGCTTTTTGCATGGCATAGCACTATTTGGCATGTTATTTTAGACCATATACCTCTGCCATATTCTTGCATTTATCGCCCTTTTGTTGTGTTTGAGGTTTAGGCCTTATACTTCGCTTGTGAGCCAACTTTCATGCATGTTTGTCTAAGCTTTTGGGCTATCATTTCAACTTGTTTCAGCCTCTGTTTTGGCATGTTTTAAGTCTGTCCATAGCTGGTTTGACCATTTGTGCTTGATATTGCATGCCTCTTGTGTGATGCTCTTCACTAGCCTTAGCGTTTTTGGCCTTTAACATGTCTTGCATGCATGTCTTGCATGATTTAACGTCTTTAGCATGTCATTTCAGTGCTGAAATATATGTCATTGCATCCCACTAATTCACTCTTTCAAAACTAGAGGACTCTCACTTTTGGACTTCACCGATTAAGGGACTAATTGGTAATCTAAAATGTGTAAACAAAATGAATCAAGTAAAACATGGCCAAGATAAGCATGTTGTTTGTATTGCATGTGTTTGGATCGAACGTTAATCCAAACACGAGAAATATGACACGTTTATAGTGATGAAACGTGTCACATTTCTCGGTCGTTGACGCCCTTGATTGTGCATGATAGGGTGGAGGCCTTTCAAGTCTTATGTGTGCATTCGTTGAGTTTTGCGCAAGCTTGATCCTTTGGCCACCATGCATTAAAAATGCTTGGTTGTTGGCTCGAGAGTCAAATGCCATACTCCTTTGAGCTTGAGATATGATAAGGAGTGTGGAAGTGCATACATTTCCTTGCAAATACACTGTCTTGCCTCTGTCTGTGCTCTGTTGCAGCAACAGGAGGAATTTCAGCCCTCAAGGTGTTCTTGAGATCAGAAAGAAGCAATTTTGAAATCGGTGTAATTTTCAAAGATTCAAAAGAGTGCAAACAAAGACGTCTTGAGGCAAGGCGGTGGATTTCCGGGAGGATGCAGCCGAGCATGCATATCTCCATCGCCCGCGAGGCCATTTATCGCTTTTGTTAGCTAGTTGTAATTAATTACCTGTGCTGTAATTAATTTAGCTTAGTGCTTTGTAATATTCTAATTAGCTTAGATTAGTTAGTTATTCAATTTGGTTTGCAATAATTAATTAGCTAGAATAGTTAGTTAATTAGTTGGTTTGTAATAGTTAGCTTAATTAGCATAGCTAGTTAGCTTTCATTTTATTCGGACCCTCCGTCGAGAGGGAAAATGTTGTAATAAGTGTACGTGTGTGTGTGAATATCTTCCAACCCCGCGTCTTTCTCCCTTTTACTTATCCGCTTTTGATGGCTAGTTTAGGGCATATTTCAATTAGCATATCTTATGCTTTGAATGTTTGCATCATTCATTTGTCTTGCATGTACTGGGCTCGGCGCATCATTCAAACCGCATTGTATTTCAATACACTTCTTTGAATACATGTATCAAATGTCGCATTCATATGCCATCTTAGATAGCCAAGCCTACTTAGTTGCATTTTGCATGTGTTGCATTAGACATTGTTGACATAGCTAGGATTATGCATTGATTACTAACTAGCTTTTGTTTTGGCTTGCAGTACACTGTGAGTGTTTATGCTTTAGCATCCTTGCATGCGTGTGAGTGATTGCCATGACAGCATGCTTGCCATGAGGCTATCTGCTTAAGTGTTTAACTGCCTGAATGCCTGTGGATGAAGGCTTCATTGCTTGAATTGGAACAATTCATCAAAAATGTGCGTTTTAAGCTCACTTGTTTGTGGCAAATCATGTTTTAAGTTCACTTGAGGGTGGCAAATCCGCATTTTAGCCTACTTGAGGGTAGCAACTTCAAACCATTTTCGAAAAACAAACATGAGATGTTTTGTTCCAAATTGAGTGATTTAGTCTATACTTGTATGCTGTGCGCATCACATAGTAATTTTAGATTAATAACCAGAATAAGAACACATGTGTTTATAAAAACAACATATCATGTTAGTAGAGGCCGATCTTTGATCGGGCGAGCGGGCGTGCTCATTTCAGGACCTTCCCCTCTCGTACCCAAGTTCCCGAGCCGAGGCAACTTTGGTGATGACGGACACGTGGCCTTTGGCACGAGTCAGGGTTTCCTAAATTTCCCAAAACAAAATATTTAGGTGGCGACTCTGAAATCTGGCAAAGCAGTCCATGTTTTGCGCTTTTTGATTAAAATCGATTTTCCAAAACGATTTTTCGGATTTGGACTCTTTGGTGATTTATCAGTCTTACATTGCACTTTGTGAGATTAGATTCAGAACCGTGACAGGAGTCCGAATTGTAGTAGCTAGAACCCAATTCGCGCCCTCTCCAAAAGGGGGGCGCACGGAGAGAGTTCGGGCGGTCTACACATATGGGCCACTTTATAGATATTCTTACATTCTCCCACTTTGCACATACAGCACACGTTGTTGACTGTCGGGTAACTAACAAACTGATTATGGCCATTAAATAAAAATACCCAAACCTTAGAGTTATAATACACAAATCATGGCGGTTATACTCTATCAATTGAGTATTTCTTTCCATGTATTACATTGTATCACACTCTCAACTTTATGTGATGTCATTCTTTATGAATAACTTCTAATAAGTTATTCTAGATCCAATGATCCCTATGGATCAATAGTCTCAATGGACTGCATAGCATCACAAATACTTTAGGTGCACAAAATGATGCTTTTCGCTAATAATAATCAAAATGTCATGACAAAACAAAATAAAACAACAACTAGAAAAATTATTGAGCTAACCAATCAGTCCCATGCCCTCAACGTGTTTTGAAAACACCTTTACAGAAAGACCTTTGGTCATGGGATCTACAACCATCACATCGGTACTAATATGCTCAATGTTGACTTCTTGCTTCTTAGCACGGTCTCAAACAACAAGATACTTTATGTCAATATGCTTGCTTTGGCTACCATTTTTGTTGATGTTAGAGAAGAAAACCGCAGCCAAATTATCACAGTAAACCTTTAATGGCCTATAAATTGAATCCACAATTCGAAGCCCTGTGATAAAATTCGTTAACCAAATAGCCTGTGAGGTTGTTTCAAAGCATGCTATTAACTTTGCTTCCATTGTTGACGATGTAATTATCGTCTCTTTGGCGCTCTTCCATGAAACAGCAGGAAATTGAATTTAAACGGTGGGCTCCGCGGCGCTCTGGTCCGCTCCCAGATCTGCGGCCAGGATTTAAAAATTGAATAATGAAAGCGCAAGCAGATAACTATTTAAGCCAAAATGATGCTGTTTTATATAATATAATCGATGACGTGGCCCCACAATTTTTGAAACACTAGCGGGAATTTATTGGAGCCCAACAGGATTGGATTTCAAATTGCAAATATGCCCGCCCAAGGAAAATAAAGGGCAGGATTCCATCCATTATATTATGCAATCCTGGAGCTGACTCCAGTTATAAGGAATTTTTGTAGAAACATGAACACGCCAGGCTCTAAGCGTGGACGATCAGAAACGCAGAGTTTTTTACAGTCGAGCAACCCCTGTTCGCCAGAACCAATCAAGAAAAGGCATCCTAATGCCAAGAAGAAGGCCCAACGCAGGAAGATATTCCACTTCCAATGCGGGTGTTCGTTATTCCACGTCAACGGATGTATCGAACCACATCCATTGGAGAGAGAGGACGCTGTCAGAGGTCTTCTACGATACTTTGAAGAACCCGATGTGGTTCAAAGCAGTGGACATGTCCAAACCGGCCAATCAGGGAGTGTACAAGATAGAATGCCTGTTCAACTACAACCTCCGGAAAGCATTAGGAATCCGGACGTTTACCGCGACAATGTATACATGGCTGACATCCAAAGCTGGATAATTTGTTCGTCATCCTGCGTGCAATAAGCTGGGTAAATACTGTCTCCGTATTTACGGGACCACAATGATGCTGCTTTATATAATATAATCGATGACGTGGCCCCACAATTTTCGAAACACTGGCGGGAATTTATTGGAGCCCAACGGGATTGGATTTCAAATTGCAAATATGCCCGCCCAAGGAAAATAAAGGGCGGGATTCCATCCATTATATTATGCAATCCTGGAGCTGACTCCAGTTATAAGGAATTTTTGCAGAAACATGAACACGCCGGGCTCCAAGCATGGACGATCAGAAACGTAGAGTTTTTTACAATCGAGCAGCCCCTGTTTGCCAGAACCAATCCAGAAAAGGCATCATAATTCATTGCGATATATAAAGGTTAATTGTATAGAGGTGGGAGAATAATTAATTTAAAACGACGTCGCATTGAGGCTACAACTCACTCTCGATTACGTCACTTACTCTCTCGGATGACGCAAGTCACTCTCTAAAAACTTTACTGGCTGAAGAGAGTGAGGGAGTGACTTATATATGTTCCCAGGAGTGTCCCTTAATATTACTGGGACGCTTCCCCCCAGCCACGTGTTGTCCCCCGATTGGCGCTCCCTTCCGCATTTTGTGGCGCGTTGTCGGCTAAGGCCCCCCCCCCCCCCCCCCGCGCCACGTGTCGTCCCCTGATTGGTGCTCCCTTTCGCATTTTGTAGCACGTTGTCGGCTAAGGCATCCGCACCACTCCCAGATCTGCGGCCAGGATTAAAATATCTAAAAAGGCAAGCGCAGACAGGAAATTTGAATTCAAACGACATGGCCCCCGATTTGTATTATGTAAAAGATTGGCGATGGGAAAATATTTATGTACATTTTTATGATTAAATAATATTGCAATTTTCTTGAATTTATATTGTATTAATAAATTCGATTTCTGAGCAGGTTTAATGTTTAATGGGCTGCAATTGGTATACAGGATATAGGACCAAAGCAGTATCACAAGGCCCATCTAATGTTATATATGAACAATTAAAATAGGCCCAACATATGGCCCAGCAGCCCATTAGACATAGGCCCATCAAAACTATGAAAGAAGTGGACACTAGTAATACTTATACAAATATAATAATTGGGCCCAAATTTGAACCAATTATTTTACTGAGGAATAGTAACAATTATACAATTATGATAATTAGGAAACTGTATTACTATTCCTTCTTCCACATCCGTAGGATTTTTGTCTGCACAGCAATCTATCGTCTACATGGATAGACTCGCCGTCTCAGTCTCTAACGCCAACCCAGCTTTCAGACCGGCGAATAGAGCATCTTCTTGCCGCTGTAAGGCGTTGATGAGCCGGATTAAATTTTTGGCGTTGTTTTCGCCGACAACCAACAACGACCAATGTAGCAGTAAAACATCCGGCTTGTATTTTAAAATCAATCACCTAAATTGGTCTACGTCTCTGCGATCCATTACAAAATAATTCAAATCCCCAATTATTTTGGCTTAAATAGTTATCCGCTTGCGCTTCCATTATTCAATTTTTAAATCCTGGCCGCAGATCTGGGTGCGGACCAGAGCGCCGCGGAGCCCACCATTTAAATTAAATTTCCCGCCTGCGTTTGCCTTTTTAGATGTTTTAATCATGGCCGCAGATCTGGGAGCGGAGTGGAGCCCCCTAGCCGACAACGCGCCACAAAATGCGGAAGGGAGCACCAATCGGGGGACGATACGTGGCGCGGGGGAGCGTCCCAGGTAATATTAAGGGACGCTCCTGGGAACATATATAAGTCACTCCCTCACTCTCTTCAGCCAGTAAAGTTTTTAGAGAGTGACTTGCGTCATCCGAGAGAGTAAGTGATGTCATTGAGAGTGAGTTGTAGCCTCAATGTGACGTCGTTTTAAATTAATTATTCTCCCAACTCTATACAATTAACCTTTATATATCGCAATGAATTATACATTCCATATTCACAAACGAATTGTGTGTTTGACAATTCGAACATCCCACTGCGCTAACAACATTCTAAAATTATAA